GCCGCCGTCCAGCCGGCTCCCCCTCCCCGCACGCCCCTCCCACTCCCACGCGGCCGCTCAGCGTCAGGACTCTGCCGGACCGTGATGACGCCAGCGTCACTGTCCTGCCGGCCTGGGCGGCCAGCAGATGTGTGCTCCGCATGGGACACGCAGCTGGGCACTGGTCTCACGGAGGCCGGCATCATCGCCGAGCAGCAAGACCCACAAAGGCTGGGTGTTCTCCAGGCCAAACTGCCCACAGGTGGCGGCGGTGGCTGGCCAGCCGGGAGGCTGCCGTCCTGCTGGGCGCACCTGGACACACCGGGAGACGAGGTCCACGGTGTCACCAAGCTGCCCGGGGCCGCGGCACAGGCAGAAACAAGGAGAAGAAAGGGGCCTGGAGGCAGGTCGGGGACAGGGGACGGAACGGTGAACAAAGGGGGGACTAAAGCTGAGCGGCGACCTCGGGAAGCAGTGACAAGTGTCTAATCTGGGACATAAGCAGGTCAGTGGGGGGATGGCACACAGGATGGGGCGGTGGTCATCAGAATACGTGCTGAGGTCTTTCTGCTGCTCAGGAGAAGGGTGACCGGCGGGAGGGAACGCAGAACGTGACCGCCAAGCGCTGAGAGGCCAGCACCCGGACGGGAACACGCCGCGGGAAGATGCACGCCATCGCCAAGGACGCGAGACGGACACGGGCAGGGCAGGCCAACGGGAAAGAAAGACGAAGGACAAGTGTGTGGACGTGTCTGCGGTCACAGGAAAACGAGGCCAGGTTGTCCAGGAAAGTGGCAACGGCTGTCACGCCGGATCGAGAATAGAACGCCAGCTACGTGCTGTCGATGAGACACGTCTAAACCACATGGATGTGAGAAGGTTGACGATGGAAATTTAAGGAGGCAGGTGCGGGAGGCAAGCACCGCCCCCCAGGAAGCCAGAGCGGCTGCCCCGCGGGCCGGAAGGCGGGAGAGGAGATGCTTGTCAGGGAGGTAAAGCTCCGAACGCGCACGTGCCCCGTAAAACCACGTACACGTCTTCGAACACGAAGGGCCTGACACGCAGTTTCTCACGGTGCCACAACGAGCCTGACGCAGTGACCGCCAGCCCGGGCCTCCGGGACACGGGGAACGTCAGTGGAGACTGCCCGCACAGGAGCGTACAGAATCTGCAGGGTTCAAGGAGCTGGGGTCACGCTGGCCACCATGCAACTGGGTCTGAATGCGGAGCAAAAATGGACTCAACACACCGTTCACGTGGAAACTAAAGACGTGCATCTAAACGGCTCACTGATCGAAGAAACGAAGCGAAGAAAAACACTTCAATGCAGTTGATAGCGAAATGTGAACAACAGCTCAGCACAGGTGCTGCCGAGCGGGACGGGGTGACAGGGGACATCCCCTGGAGAGGTCAGAGGGCGGAGGGAGCCCAAGAGAGCAGAGGAAGGACACGACCGACAGAGAAAGTAACGGAACTCAACGCAAAGCCCCAGTAAGGCCCCACCGGCTGCACCCTGAAGGTCAAGGTGTCCTTGGCAGGAGGGACACTCCCGCGTGGTTCAGGTGACCGCGTGAGGGGATGTGCAGCAGAGCAGGGCCTCCGCCAGCGCGGTGTGTGCCCATGTCATGGGACGAGGTTGCCGCCAGCCCGGGGGGCCGGGGCGGGGCTGTGCCGGTGCCCAGCCCCCGTCAGGGACCCGCCTTGCTAATCTCTAGGAACACCTGGCAGCAGATGCGGCGGTCTGGCAGCCTGGCCTTGGGGGCGGGGGCCCAGGGAGCTGACGGGAGTCAGTGGGCAGCACGGTGGGCAGGATGATGGCCCAGGCTGGCTGGACAGAGGCAGAGGAGCCAGAGCTGGGGAGAGAGCGCCTGGCAGGGCAGATGGCCTGCACGGAGGCCGGGGCATCCCAGCAGGACAGGGTGCAAGAGGTGACCACGGGTAGCCGTGATCAGAACAGGAGCCCGAGGCCAAGGCTGTCCCATGCATCAGTTACTCAGCCGAGGACAACCTGTGCAGCCGAAGTCACAGAATGAAGCACACGAGGACACCTGGGAGGTCTGGGAGCGGCGGCCCAGCCAGGAGCCACCTCAGCAGCAAGCCCAGAAAATCAAGTGGGTGGGGGCACCGCGGACCAGCAGCGTGGACAGGGGCAGGGCACCCATGGCTGCCACTTCCCTGACACAGGAGGGCACCCCGCTGCCCCCTCTGCTCCCTGGTGACCCTCTGCTTCTTAAAGCTGGGGCTGGGGTCCTTGTGCTCCAGACGGCCTTCTCGCTGCCCGTCCGCCCCACCTGGCACAGCAGACGCACTGAAACTCGAGTTCGGGTCTGTACCTGGGCTGACTCCAAGCATCCGCAAACCAGATCTCCCGCCTCCAGGAAAGGGGGTTCTCGTCCCTACCTATCAGCGGGCCCCACTTCACAGGGATAAACCTCAAAGTCACAAAGGGATTATGAGCAGACTCCAGGCACGGTCATGGGAACTTCCGGTTGCCAGTCCTAACTTCTCGTGTCCCCTCTGCCCGTCCCCAGTGCCCAGAACCTGCCCGAGTCCATGATGGGAACGGGGTGGGAGGCAGTGGAGCCACTGCCCAGCAGTAAGGACCCTTGGGCGCCCTGCTGCTGCGAGGGCAGGGGGCCTCAGGCGGAGGGCCGGCCACCCGCGCTCACCTGGGCGGGCGCGCAGCCAGGTGCAGTCGCGCACTCTCATCTTCCACATCAGCTCCTGCAGCGACAGCCTGGCGTGCTTCCCCAGGGAGAGGAACTTCTTTACGTTCTTCAGGAAGCGCCGCTCGTTGTGCCTGGAGCCCCAGAGGCCGGCGGGCACCACGCGGTGGAGACAGGCGCGCAAGAGCCGGTACACGTGCCAGGGGCTGCTGTGCTGGCGGAGCAGCTGGATCAGGCGCCGCGAGCCGCCGTCCTCGT